GATTGTCACCACTTAAGCTATTTTTGTTAAAAATATTCAAATTACCCATAGTTTAAGTTGGGAACCTTGACGTGAGAGTATTTTCGTAGTTTGACCCGCTTAAGTTACTCAAGTTAAATGACCTTAGTACCACTAATTGTTGTGCATTCCAAAACTAGAGCATATTTATTTATTAAAAACTCTTGCTCCAAGTTTGGAACCTAATTACTTCTCGGGACTTGAAATATAGAATAATAGGATATTTAGATTATTTGGCTCATATGACTATTGGGTGTGTTTTTAGTCACATATGAAACTAAGTGTGTTCCAACGAACACTTGATCGATTGAAGATGCTAATTTAAAGTGGAGTTTGTAACGCACACTTGATAACTGTATTAACAGATGGTCGATAAGATTTGAGCATAGTTCTTGATAATACTTACTCAGATATGAAGATATGATATGCTCAAGATTCATGATATGAAGGCCACAATATGGCTTCGGACCCCGACTCTTCAGTTAGCCTCTACATGTTCTGACTTACAATCGATAACATATATCATAGCTCATTAGTTAAGAATATTCAAGTTTAACTCACAGTTGATGATAGAAGATATGAAAACCATCTTATTATGAGGCAAGTTTTAGGATACATATACTCTTAAGGCTCAATGTGCCTATCCATATGATATGTGGAGGAACTTGATGTGGTTTGATATAAATATTTTCTCAAATCCATCGTTAGTTATGCATGTGCATCGTAACTTACGGTTTATAATAAGAGATCATGAAGATGTTTCAATTTGAGATTAAACTCTGGGATACATATACTCCCATGACACATGGATGCCTCTCCACTTGATATTGGAGGAGTTTTGGGAGAGATGCGATATGACTCTTTTAACTTGTCAGTAAAAAATATAGGGTTTTAACAGGTAGAGCGTAATGAAAGCCTTGCCATATATTGATATATTGAGATAAATCCCTAAAGATATACATGTTAAGGTATCATATGCCTTAAAGTACATGTGTGATATAACTTGGGCAATATTTGAACTTGGTTTAACCCATGTCCATATTCACCATTAGTTAAGATATGCCTTGACTGATACCCTTAGAACTTCAAGTTTCAGAATTAAGTTGAGACTCTTAAGGGCTCATGTTTGAGGCATTATAACTATATCTCTGAAGTTTAATATCAATTGGAGGTGGCTTAACCCATAATCCACATCGTCTGGCAGTTGGAGGCTTAAAAGCTCTATCCCCTGTACGTTACAGCTAAGATAACACCTAATCACCAATTGAGATTTCTCCCTCGATATGAAGAATTTGCTCATGAGACCAGGACTGTTGGATTCGTGATTCAATGATTTATTATTCTTAAAAGGTGCAACATTTATTGACTTGTACTTTGAAGTGGTTGCATCCGAAATCCACAGGTTATGCTGACACAATTTCCAACAGAAACATAATAACTTGGATGGATCATATCTTTCTCATCTGAGATCTATTTGAGGCGAAACTTAGACTATTGTGTTCAGCTCTGAGTCATCTATCATCTCAACAAATTTTATATTCAAAGGATTTGTCATTTGAAAGCGGTTCTACCCAAAATCCACTTGTCTTGCCGATGTAATTTCCATCCGAAATATGTTAATTTGGATGGATGAGATCTCTCTCATCCATGATCCATTTAAAGTGTGACTTGGACTGTTATGTTCGTATTTGCGTCCTCTTACAGTTCACAAAATTTCAAATTCAAAGGATTTGTCATTAAGAAGCGGTTTGACCCGAAATCTACTGGTATCATACTCGTTCAACTGGCGCAATTTCCAACAGAAATGAGTTTACTTCAACGGACAATATCTCTATCAACTGTGATCCATTTAAAGTGAAACTTGGACCGTTGTGTTCACATTTGAGTCTTCTTTTACCCCATTAATTTTTAGAATCAATATATCTACCATCTGAAATAAGTTGAAGAAATATAAACGCATATCAGGACAATGCTACAGAAGCTTAACTTAAAAAGGATGACAACCTCCCTGATGTTTCTCACGTGGTGTCCTTGTTGGATTTGAGATCCGTGAATTCAAATTGAGGATGAGCATTGACTGAGATGTGTGATTATCATCAGTAGACACCTGTCTAGTATTGAAATATATAATTATCACTTTGAAGACTGGATTAAGAAGTTGAAGACGTACGATCAAAGGATATGCCGAGGATCATACTTTTCATGCTCATCACTTCATAATTTTGAGGATGTAGACCAATAGATGGATAATGGCTGAAAATTTTGTGGTTAAGAGTTAATGAATCTACATAAACGCCCTTTCTTGATAAAGCGAGGGGTTCGATTCCTTTGGATTGAGACGATTGAATCAACGAGATAGTGTGAGAGAAAGATAGAAAATAATTGTATCGCCAGAAGTTGTCCCTTATATGACTGTTTTCTGAGTCATATCTGATATAGAGAGATATATTATAGTTTTTCAAGCACACTTGAAGCCCGATCTCAAAGAAGAACAAGTCATATCACAGTACTCATACGTTTAAGCTCAGGAATACAGGCCCATATGCCCATGGTGTTGTTTTCATCATGTATGATTGTATATTGCCTTTTCTAAAATCGAATGTATAGGTTTCAAGGCCCGAATCAAGGGTATTCGGCCTAAGTCAAGCTGATATAACTTATAACAGAGGATTCAACCTCTGAAACTTGTCCATTCCCAGTATTTGATATATGAAAAACATGTGTTTCTATTATATAGAATGTGGCGAATTTGGCCCCAAATGTGTTGTCATCTGGTTGTTCACTTGGCGTCTTGGGTTTTCTTAAACCCTTATTTTAGTTGATTAAATATGACAATTCACTTTTCGGAGCGTCCAATGACTTAGTTAGAAAAATTACCAAAGATGATTCCAAATTGCAAGCAATTTGGACATTTTTTACTAAAATAGTTAAAGAGGTACCCAAGTGAAAATATTTTAAAAAATTGACCAATTAAATTGGTTGATATGATCACCTCACTGATTCATTTATTGAGGTATAACTATACTTAGATTTTTCCTTTTAAATTAGGACATGGTTTTTATGAGTCAGCACATGTAGATACGCTCCCTCTCTCCATGATATATTTTTCAGATTAGTTTTGAACCTAATTTTTTAGAAATATATAATCTCTAGCATGGGCATCATTAACATTTAAATATAAATAAATCTTAAAAATTAAAAATGATATCTTTTGAAAAATAATCTCATACTATGGATTTTTTTTGCAGGACTACCATCTTTTTACATCCATCCTCAATGTGTCAGGCGACATTAATGTAGAATTGTCTCCCCTAATGCACAATACACTTTTCATTCATTCAAATTAGAAATAACAAAGATAATGTTAGAGTTTCGAGGTTAAACCAAATGAAAATATATGCAATAAGATCTTTGTACATTGAAATTGGATGGCTAAGAGTATTTAATTTATCAATCTCGAAGCCCAAAAAAAAATTTCTCGAATTTTATAACATACTCTAAGGTGTTTAATTTAATTTTTGATGGCTAGGAATCATTCTTACCCCATTGTTTCAAAGATATACGGTCATAGAGTATACAATCCTTAAATAAATTCCTTTGTATGTCAGTCTCAAAGATGGAAAAAAACATAAGGGAAAGGCTTCTATACTTCCCCTACTGCAAAGAAGATATATACTTCCCCCCTCATCCAGCCATCCAATTTCGATCAAGTGAGACACTAACCGTTTTGATCTAAATCTGATGTCTTAGAGTATTTTTTTTTATTTCTTACATATTGTATGGATATGAAATTTAGTACATGTCATATTATCAATGGGGCACATCTAAAAAAATTATTAAATAGAATTTTTTATGAAATATAATGACCAAAATACCCCTTAAAACTTTCAAGGGGTATTTTTAGTTATTTTATTTTATTGGAAATATTTTTTAATATTTTATAGGTGGGAGTTTAAGAGATGAGTGGATCCCCAAAAATTGGTGTGAAACTGGTTTATAGAAAAAAATTTTAAAGGCAAAAGTTTATATAAGGTTGCAACCTTATAATGTAAAACTACAGATGCACATCAAAAATCCATTGAAAAAGGTAGTTTTAATGTTGAAAAACCCTTTGATTGATCATCTCGACATCGAGATATATGACCATGAAAAATAAAAAAATTGTAAGTGTCAGAAATAGTGCATTTTACAACATATTATCTACACCGTCCATTTTCAATATTTTCATATGTTTATAGATCTACTTGATTTAACCATTTTTGAAATTTAAAATTCTATAAGTAGATATAAAAATAGATTTTGAGATAATCTTAAGAATATTTTACATCAAAATTATATACCATGACAAAATTTGAAGGTGCACCTTACCTCTACAGCTACGAATGTACCTGTATGCCAACTGCACCCTTAAAATAAAATAGTAGAGAGACGTGACATTGTAATTAGGGCCATCTCTACCATTCATTCAAAATGGACGGTTGGATAGAGGGGGAATAAGTTTTATGTTGTAGGAGAAGCACAAAAACGTTGCCCAAAACATAAAATCCCAAGCTTGTGTCTTTTACTCGCGATCAATTGTACAATTTAGGGATCAGTTTTACAATTTGGTTATCAAGGATCCCTAAGCTCTTTCCCAAATGCAATCCACATATGAGAATCATTTTTCCGGTTCCAATCGTAGCTAAGCATTCCCCCTATACAATTGTAACTACTTTTGTGAGTTTGAGCTACCATAGGAGAGAGTCGTGATTTAAAAAACAGATCATTGGTCCAAATTGGTCATCACAAAAACCAGTTTAGATTGGTGAATTGACGGTTCATATCGAAGTTTAACTATGTGAAAAAAATAGTGAATCAGTAAAAAAAAACACGTGCAAAAACAATAAACCGGCGAAAAATCAGTTAGAATCAGTGAATCGGCATTTTTAACTATAGACGATGCTTTTGTAGTAAAACGCTGTTTTATTGTAGCAAATCGCCATTTCTCTTCCCGTCCTCGACAATTTCCTGTATATTGATCCGTTTTATTATAACAAATCGCTATTTTTCTACTAGACCCGAACAAATCGCCATTTCTCTACTTGACGCGGGCAATTTCGTGTATATTAAGCGATTCCCTTATCGGACAGGGGATTCCGTCCCCACCCATTTTTTTTAAAATCACTGGGAGAGAGTAATGGCTTCTCACTTCTTTCGCCTACATGAAATGAAAACGTAGAAACAAGTCCTTTGCATCTCACATTTCTTAGATCGATATTCGTTCTTAACATGGGATGTTTGTTTCTCCATCTTGCATTACATTTCTCAATCCTTCACGCCCCATTCTCACTCGCAACCCCTCCCTCTTTCTCTCTTTCCAACTCCTATCCCCCGATGCTGTTCCTCAATTCGCTGAAACTGGCTTCACCACCATTTCTGCAACTCAAGCCCATGACCCCCAAACTCGCCTTTCCTTGCTTCTCCAAGCTTGCAAAGAGGCGCCTTCTCTCTCTACCACTAAACGCCTTCACTCCCTCTCCATCGTCATGGGCTCGAACTTATCTTCTCTCTTCGCCCAAAACAACCTGCTCGTGCTTTATTCTGAATGCGGCGAGCTTGAGTATGCGTGCAAAGTGTTTGACATGATGCCCCAACGAAATGCCATCTCTTGGAACTCGATTATCAGAGCTAATGCCATGCTTGGTCATGAAGAAGAAGCTTGGGAGCTCCTCTATCGAATGATGGGTGATGGTTTTACGCCCACCCAATTCACATTTGGCACCATCTTATCATTGTACCCAAGTTATGACGCTTCTTCTCAATTGCAGGCATTGATGATAAAAACTGGGCTCTCTGTTAACGAATTTGCAGGGACTACACTCCTGAGAGTCTTTGCAAGACAATCTGATATCGAATATGCGTGCAAGTTGTTCAATGAAATGCCTCATCGTAATGTGGTGACATGGAATTCAATGATTTTTGGTTATGCTGAAAATGGCTGCTACAAGGAGGCCTTGTGTTTGTTTCGAGATCTTTTGAGAGAGCATATAAGACCCACCAAGCCCACTTTCTTGGCAATTCTTTTTGCATGCCAAGAGGCAATTGAGTCTGGTGAGCAAGTACATGGTTTAGCAATCAAAACAGGAGGAGAAATCTTTGTGGAAGTGGAAAATGCTTTGATTTACATGTACTCGAAGTGTGGTAGCATTGGAAATGCTGAAAAGATGTTCAAAATGATGTGTGTTCGAGATGTGGTATCATGGAATTCCATGATCACGGCTTTCTCAAAGTGGGGCAAGCCTGAGAAAATGTTGGAGCTTTTCTTGTTCATGAATTTGCATGGCTTATCAGCCAGCTACACCACTTTTTCCACCATTCTTACCTCTTGTAGTAGCTTGAGTAGCTTGTGTTTTGGTAGATATATCCATGCTAAGACCATCAAGAGCAATCTCAATGTTAATATTTTTGTTGGTAGTGCATTGGTTGATATGTATGCAAAATGCGATGATTTATGGGATGCTCATCTAGTTTTTGAGGAGATGCCCGAGAGAAATGTGGTCTCCTGGAATGCTTTGATCTCTGGCTATTCTAATTCCAATCACATAGTCCATCGGCAACTGGCCCAATTGCTTTTTAAAAGAATGCTGAATTCTGATGTAATACCTAATGAGTACACATATTCAGGTGCTCTTAAATCATCTAATCTAGAAGGTGGGTTACAGCTTCATTCTCAAGCCATAAGAACTGCTTTCGATCAAGATGCGTATGTGGGGAGCTCAATTGCTGCCATGTATGCAAGAAACGGCCTCATGTCTGAAGCCAGTGACTTTGCCACCCAAATGTCTTCACTAACTGTAATACCTTCTAACATTATTGCTGCAAATTATAGCAAAAAAGGCCAATACTCAGAAGCTTGCGTGCTCCTTTCCACTATCCAAGAACCCGACATGATCTCTTGGAATACCCTAATTGCAGCTTGCACTCGAAATCACGATTACCAAGTGGCATTTGAACTCCTTCACCACATGCAATGTAGCAATGAAATGCCTGATAATTACACATTTGTAAGCATCTTGAGCATTTGTTCAGAGACATGCAACCTTGGACTAGGCAGTGCAATTCATGGCTTAATGTTCAAAGCTGATATTAACTGTTCCGATGGGTTTCTCCTTAATGTGCTTGTGAACATGTATGCTAAGTGTGGGAGTCTTGAGAGCTCTATCAAAGTCTTTCAAAGAATTCCTGAAAAAAATGTGGTGTCATGGACTGCTATGATATCTGCACTTGGTCTTCATGGGTGTAGTAAAGAAGCCATCAAATGCTTTGAGGAGATGCAATTGGAGGGTATCAAGCCTGATCGTGTAGCTTTCATGGCGGTTCTCAGAGCATGCAGTCATGGTGGGTTGGTACAGGAAGGGCTGGCTATGTTTGAGGCTATGAGAAAGATTCATGGGATTGAGCCTGAGATGGATCACTATGCATGTGTGGTTGATATGCTTTGTCGATGTGGTTGTGTGGATGAGGCCGAAAGATTTATCAAAGACATGCCATTTTGCCCCAATTTTCTAATTTGGCGCACTTTTCTTTCTGGCTGTGCAATGCATGGACATAGAATGGTGGGTACAGGGCAGCAAGGTTTCTGATAAATATGGGTAATTTAAATTTTGGTTATTTTATTGTTTTTGTTTACTGCTCATGGTCATCATGCAGTGTGCATCGCGTATGTGAGGACAGAAAAATGTTGCAAGTGAAAAGGAGAATATGGTGATCTATGAGATGTTCTGGCCACTTCAGTTTAGATGTATCTTTGATTAAGGATGTCGCTGAGCGATGGACATTCATTCACTTAGTACATTTTTTATTTCAGATGTATCAGCCTTTATATTTTGAAATTATGAAAGAGCTGAAGCATTAGGTTGTGGTCATATTGAAAAGAAAGAGGTTAGTGGCCACAGTAGTGATCATTGGTGTCTACTTCATGGATACTTAGACAAATTTGATGGCTGGAAGCTCATAAGTTCAGAGATGTCACCAAACAATTGAGCGACAAAATGCAATGCATGCGAGTTCAATTTCAAGAAATGGGTTCTTCCAAAAAAGTCCCTCTTCTTCTCATTTATCATGAATTTCTTTATGTTTTCAAATATTAATCATCCCTTTAACCAATGCATTTTTGGTGGGTTAGAGTTTTCTCTTGCAGAATATTCACTTCATTGCTTCCAAAGAATGGTGCTCATTCTGCTTTCAAGAAGAATGCCTTTTTGAGGGTCTGAGTTCCTACAGCATGGGAGAGGTGAGTTTAAAAACCTGTTCCTTGTTGTGTAATTGCATGATCAATTATCTTCGTTTTGAGCAACCTTTTGGAAAGCTGGGGTAATTAAGAGTTACATTGTCTGGAATGTGTACACTCTTCTATTCACGTTCTAATGTGTTGTTTTTTTAATTATTTTTATTTTTTTGGGAGAAAAAAAGATGTTCAATTCTGTTGTTAGAACCATTGTTTTGGATATTGCCTCGACCCTTGGCCAAGGCGATCAACTCGGCCAAGTTCGAGTGGACTCGGCCCAGCTATATAGAAAAAATGAAAAGAAAGTCAAAAAAAAGGGCAATTTAAAAAAAAAAAAAAAAGTTAAAAATGATAAAAAAATAAAGGACACGGTTTCTATGAGTCCATGTAGAAATGAGTCACCTCTTAAAAATCTGTCTTTGAGATGGATTTTTGGACCTAATTTTTAAGGACATGTAACCTCTAACATGCAGATCATGAATATGAAAAAATAAATAAATTTTGAAACTTAAAAATAATAATTCTATGAAGAAACATTTGGACCATTAGTTTCAATTATTTTTAGATGGATCACCTATTCGCATCCGTCTTTAAGATGGATGCTTTATACCTTGGGGACCGCAAATGTAGAAATGCGGTCTCCGCCGCATGAAACAATTTTCCAAAAATAAAAGAGCTAGTAGAACTATTAGAAGATTAAAAAGACAAAAAAAAACCCTATAAAAGATGGATTATTGAAAATTATGACTTAGAACTTGAATATTTCAGAAAATTTATAAAAAGGGAAAAAATATGAAGTTCCCAAATCATCTTAAAAATATTCAAATTATCAAAAACCTTAATTGTCAGTAATATATTGGTGCTCTCTCTGTCTCTCTCTCTCTCTCTACATTTTTTTTAAGAGCTTTATAAGGGTGGGGTGAGTTACAGAGGAACTTGCCCCAACTATGGCCAAGGTCGAGTTACTTGGTCGAGTCCCTGTGGACTCAGCCGACTCCTATAACGCTGTGTTAAAACTCATGTGAGTCATGTAGATAATTTATATTGAGTCATGTGAGTACCTCGTTACTTTTCTCGTGATCTCACATTATGCTGTCAAGTCAGAAGTCATGTTAGTTTCTAGTGGGATCAAAGGAGATGGTGGGATCTGGTTGATAAATTTTTGATGCTTAGGACAACGTAACTAGAAAAATAATTAGAAACAGAAATCTTCAACAATTTCTTGATTTGGAAGACTTATTGCAATTACATTTCATTTGAAAGAGAAGCTCAAAAAGCGAAGCAAGAGATCAAGAGAAGAAGACAAGTAGTACAAGATGAAAAACGGAAGAGTGAGTAGAACAAGAGAAGAATGAATTAACCTTATGAACAAGAGAAGTTGAACCAAGAGCAGAACAGTAGAGGAAAATGAGCAGGAAAGAAGCAGAATTAGCCTCAGAAGGTACATAAATAAAAGATAAGGTTAAAAAAATGCTGATAAGAAGTAGATATCGAGAAGAAGCAGACATGATGAAGAAAAGTGTCAAAGTAGATAGGATACAAAAGAAAGAGGATTATAAGGAATACAAGACAGAAAAGGACAGTATAGAAGAGAAGGGGAGAGCATAGATGCACAATTGCAATGGCAGATTAATATCCCTGCCTAGTGGCTATTCTCTGTATGGCAACATATTGTTTTTGCTCTTATGGGTTGGTGGGAGATGTATATCAGAGGGATATGGTTCCAATCAAATGGGAAAATGTCTCTACGGACTTGGATTAGTTAGTGGAAGTAGGAAAATATGCATCTCTTCTGTGATGGCGAATTGAAAGTGATCATTGGGCTGTTTAAAAGTCGAAAATCAGAAAACGAAGTGCAAATCAAGTTGAAGATGAGGGAAGAACTTGAGGTTGATTTGTGGCTGATTTTTATGATGTTGTTGAAAATCATGTTTTAGACACAATAAACGACCCATAACTCATCCAGTATGTGGCGTTTTTGTGTGATTCTTGGGGAAAAATGTCTGTGGGGTTGTTTCTATGATTGTACTTTACTGGGATAAAGAAAATGTGGTGAAAATCTGGTGAAACAAGCAGAAAATGTATATAGAAGCATTTTGCTGATTTTTGGATCAAAGCTTGTAAAAAGAACCATAAATCTTTTAAATCTTAGAGCTTTGGGTAAAATTTGTTGCAAAAATGACCTCGAGGCAATTCTCTGTGATTTGGTTGTCAGATCATCTGTTCGCTGGCCAAAAATGAAGAAATAAAGGCTCGAAGGTGATGGGTATCGATGAAACCATGCTTTTCAGGGGCATATCATAATATTTTCATTATTTTAACCTTAGAAAATGCCCTTTCTCAAAGTGATAGGATGAAAAGCTGAGTTTTCACCGACATATTCACCCAACCCAACAGTTGATTTTCCAACCTAATGTGAAACCCATCTATAAATGGCCTAAGTCCCTTTCTTTTCTAAAGATGGAGACCATTTGTTCAGTTTAGGGTGTAGAGAACTCTAGTGAGAGAATGCCTCCTAGAGAGAGAAACCATAACGTAGAAGTGGAGGGAAAAATCTCCTTAGAGGGATAATGCAAGCTAGAGAGAGAAATTCTCTTAGAACGAAAAACCCATTTACCTTTAGGCTTCTATATTCTAGGGAGAGAAACTCCAAACCCCATCTGAACCCTAGCAAGCAATACCTCATATCAACCCAAATAAGCAAAAAGAGAGGGCCGAACCATCAGTTAATCCGTGAGCATGATATGAGCTGAATGATCTAAGAGGACTTGCCTAACCCAGCCTAGGATATTCCCAACCCAATTTGTGCCAATTTGTGAGCATCTATTTACTTTATTGAAATTTCTCTATTTTTTATTTTCTTGTTTGTGTTTTTTTTAATTTTTGGAGTCATTTTATATATATATTATCACGTGCACACACATCCACACGCGGAAATTGGCGCAGGCTTTTATTATGACTCCACCGGGAATCTCCATCCCACTTCTATTTAGTTTTATATTTTTGCATATTTTTCCAATGTTCTTAAGGTCATTTTTCTTGCCCGGATGGATATGACCCCTTAACTTATTTCTTGGTTGGGGACTTTGTGATCTTGCTCCCCGCTCCCTGGAACTTCATCCAGGTACACGTGCCGCCATTGCCCTTCCATTTACCGGCAAGGTTTGCACTGTCGGTGCAACCATCGTCGCCACTTCCTTAGGTTGTAGCACCGCTGGCCTATCCCACCATGAACCCACCGACGGTGCAATTGTCAGAGCCACTTCCACCGGCGGTAGCACTGCCAGCCCATGCCACCATAGACCCACCTGCTGTGGTTCTACTTCCACCAGCGGTAGCACTGCTGGCGCATCCACCATAGTCCCAGTGGCGGTGCAACTGCCGACACCACTTCGATCAGTGATAGCATCTCTGGCCTGGCCGCCCTTTTTTACCATGCCCACTGGCGGTGTACGGCCATCACTTCACCCACCTGTGATAGCACTCCTGGCCTCCATTCTGACGTCCACAGCCGTGGTGCATATTGCACCACCAAACCCATACCTCATAAAGCCACCAGTGGTAGGAGAGGAGACCCATCGTTCGTTGCCAGTGCCTTCCTCTTTTACCACTGGTGGGTTCCCTCTGCTGGTCCCATAAATACCAGTGATCGGTTCCCACCGCCGGCTAGGCCTTTTCACTAGCTCCGCCAGTCTCCTCATCATGTGCCGTTGTTCCCCCTATACTTAAAACTACTAGTAGCTCTTCAAGGCACACTGTCGGTGCCACTAGTCAAGCACGGCCTGCCACCAGCCACACACTGCCAGTACTGCCCATGCTCGTACTGCTGTTCCCTTGAAGACCCACACCCTTCAAATACCCATATTCATCTCCCACCTTATTTTTGTGTGGATGGTTGTGCCCTTGGGTTGGGGACATCTAGTACCTGGCCTTCTCTTGCCCAATGCTCTTAATTGGTGTGGATTATTGTTCCCCGTAGAACCGGGAAGAGTTGGCGGGCAAGTAGAGTTTGTGATAGATACTAATGTTGCCAAGCTGAAATGCGTCTGTTTTTAAACCTGGCCTCTGGTGCTTTTAAAGTGGCGAACCAAACTTTGGAGCCAAAAGACCCCTCTATTTCTAGACCGAAACCATTCTTAAGCTCACCTACCACTCATTACATGGATAACAGTTCCATTGGGCTGGGGGCATCGAGTACTTGGCCTACTCTTGCCTGTTTCACTTGATCGGTATCAATAGGGGCATTGTCCATTGTAGAACCGAGAAGAGTTTGTGAGGGATACTAATGCCAGCAACCCAAAATGCTATCCCTCTGAACTCAGGCCCATTCCCCCAAAAAATACTAACAAAACCTTGAGACCACAAGACCCTTTTATTCTTAAACTCGGGTACCAAATGCTGAGGCCCTTAGCATCAAATCCTTGGACCTTGAAGATTGGGTCTAAATCTGCACTGTGAGCAGTGTGAGCTTTGGAGTGACATGACTTTTCACTGGGAACCTTGGATTCTTGTGTATGTTTTAAGTGAATAAGCAATTTGAAACTCCAGAATTTAAATTGCTTAATCTGTTTACGTTTTGAATGAATAAATGATCCAAACAACTTTATTTTCAAAAAATGTTGGATGGAAACTTCAAGTTTCAAGCTGGGGCATACCCGTCTAATCTTTTAGTGAATATGCAATTCAAAACTTGATTCCAAGTTCTAAACCACTTCATTTTGAAAAATTTTGTTAGGAATTGATGTCACTCAGAAAAAAAAAACCAGTGATTCGGAACTTGAAACTTTGAGCAGAAGGTATTTTGAGAAAGAGAAATGATCCTATAGGACCCTCCCCCACCCATGTGTGTAGGACCCCAAAGGATCACCATTAAATTTGACACGGATTTATAGAAAAGTCAAGTCCCACATCCATGTAATAACTTTTCTAGAGATCCATGCCAACTTTAATGGTGATCCTTTGGGGTCCTACACACATGGGTGGAGGAGGGTCCTATAGGATCATTACTCTTTGAGAAAAATAAAAAATATATGAAAGTGTAGTTCGTGTTTAATGGTTACATATGATCTTGTTTAGGTCCATGTTTGAACCTTTCTCCGAAAAGCTGGATGACCCTCATCTTTTATCGTGATATACACTTTTGTGATTGCATTGGGACAAGCCAAATGCTCATTATTCTTTTTAATGTATGGGAATGCCCTGTTGCTTCCAGGTGTAGGCACGTTCAGTACACCAGCACTTAAAAAGTTGGAAACTCAATAAAAATTCATGCAAATAAATATTTCTGGAAAGTAAGGTGCACATCAACTTGGTTCATAGCGACCGACACACATCGGGACATCTACCATTCATTCACTAAGATGAACGGTCAAGATAAATTCTAGTCAAGTGAAGGCTTGTCTTTGGGGAGATTCATGAACATCGCAGATGGCGGATAATCCTACAATGCACTACGAATCCGGTAATCAAAATTGAGGGACTGTTTGATTGCAAAAGTTTGCCAAATGATGGGTTTTCTTTTTCCAAGTTGTAATCGACCAAATGGCATTTTAGTCAAAATGTCATTTGCCTTCTGTGGGTGTTTGATTGTTACGATTTGAACTACAAGTTGTTATACGATGTGATGGTGGTGGGTATTTGATTAAATACAATTTGTCCTACAAGTTGTTATATGGTGTCACGGTGGTGGTTGTGTTGATGGTGTGATGCTGGTAGTATTGGGTGATAATGATGGTGGTGGTTGTGGGTGGGTAGTGGTGGAGTGGTGGTGATAAAGGCAACAAAAGAGGAGGTGGTGGTGGTGGAGGACCAATGTTGGTGCAAGTGGCGGCTAGGCAATTGAGTGATAGCAATAGAGCGGTAATGGTGGTGCTAGTGGTATGGTGGTGATGGTGATGGTGATGGTGATGGTGATGGTACGATAGTAGTGGTGGTGGTGGTGGCGGTGGTGGCGGCGGTGGAGGGTAGTTGTGGGGTGGTGCTAGTGGCAAGGTGCAGGCAGTGGGGTGGTGGCAGCATGGAGGCGGCAGTGGTGGTGGTTGCAGTACGGTTATGCTGATGGTGGCTAGGCAGTTGCTATAGTGTTGCTGGTGATGGATGCGGTGGTGGGGGATGGTTATCATGGTGTGGTGGTGGCAATGGCAATGTTGGTAATGGTGGTTTGGGCGGCTTTTCTGTGGTGGGGGTGGCAATTGCTGTTGACTCAAATTCTAATTTGAAGATCAAACATTCCTTTATAGTCAAATTGCTAGTGAGATATTTTCAAATAGGCAAATTCGAATTTGTAGGAAGTAGGGTGCGTATACTATGTGCTCCCTTGGGCAAAATACTTTTTTTTTTTTTCTTAATTTGGAATTTTGGGATTTATCTAATTATAACTAGATGATTATGCTCAAAGGAAAAAAAATTGAATTTTGAGTTCTTGAGCTTCTAAATCGTTCCCTCGTAATATTAGATTGTTCGAGTGCTATCTTGGGATGCCATTTGTTTAGGCACATAGTGAGTGAGCGTCAAATTTTTTTTTTTCTTTTGAGATTGTTTGCCTGATTTTAGAGATTGCATCCCCAAATTTTGGTATCTCAAAGATATTCCCAGTGTATGTTTTGCCTGATGGAGTAGATGGATAGCGTACTCATGCAGAAGTAGGAAATCTTTTCGCCTGCAGGAAATCAAACGGTGCCTAATATTTGGTTGATGTTCAAAACTATAGAGCCCTTAATCCGAAGACTAGGATTGTTCTTTATTCAATGAAGTTAATTGAGCATGTAGATTGGGCAAAAAAAATTATTGTTTTAAAAAATAGATCAATACCTTGAATCATCAAGAAACATCCCAATTCATTTGGTCTGAATAGGCAATTCCAATCTAAATCAGTAAATAAAAAGAAAAAAAAAGAATGTTGCCGTGGCCCTAAAAGGTTAGGGCATGGATCACATCAATGCTGGTCCCGTTCAACATTTTTATTTTATTTATTATTATTATTTTTTCTCATGTTTTCTCTTTTATTTTACTTTATCCTAGCCTGATATGGACCTATTAGGCTAGGGCCTCATTGGCCCGGTTCAGTCTGGGCCAGCCTAGTTGGGGGTCAGGACTCAGCTAGGGCCCAGCTTGTTCTGGCCTAGGCCCAGCCCGTTGTTGGCCCTGTTTATGGAGTTAGGCAACTCCGGGCTTCTCTAGAGCCGTATCGCCTATCAGATGTTAATATCTAGATCAGGTCAGGCAATTATGGCTTTGGCCTTACTGATGATTTACATAGTAATTATAATAACATACAAGACCCAACGATTTCGCTATGGCCTCAACATGATAATGGATGAGATCAATATATTAAAACCCATTGATTTTTTATCTGGATGGTTAATTTGGATGGAAATCGATCTGGACCGAACCAACTCTGGGATGGTATAGAGTCCAACGGGTTCCCCCTTAAAACCCACAATTGTATGTTTTTTTACTCTTTTTTTTAAAGCTTATCTAATATTTTTTTAAAGCTTATCTAATTAAGCTTTGATAGCTAAATGATGATGGCGGGTTATACAAAGTGATAATCAACTCTGGAAAACAGTAATGATTTCTAAATATAGATTCGATCCCATTAATCTCATGGTGGCTGGGGACAAGGTGGGGCGCAACAGTCCTAAGTGTGGTAGTCAATTTCATTCAATTTTTATGATGAGTCACCTGAGATTTTGGCATCCCAAACGGCTCAATGATATTCCTTTTAAACTACTTTTTCTTGATTTATTCTTAAGAATCTTCCAGCCCTTCAGCAAAGGTGTGTGAAGTTGGAGAGGTAAGGGGTCAGTGTGTGGTTTGGAATATTAACTGTTTATAATCGATTACCTCATCGTGCTGTTGAGCAATATATCGATTTATTACATATGTTAGATCAAGTGCTATTTCAAACCAGGCTAAAGATGAGGCGGTATGGGATTTGGAAATTGATGGAGTTTTTTCTGTTAAATCTGCATGCCATATTACAACCTCAAAAAAAGGGAAAATTGATTGTGAATGTATCTCTTTTGTAAAATTGATGAAGAAACTGGTGATTGCCTCTTTCTCCATTATCCTTTTGATTACAGTTTGTGGTGTTGGGCTATGCAAAAGGTAGGCTTTTACTTAGTTCTCCCATCATCAATGTTCCACCTAGTTTCTCAATTTAAACTTTGTGGTACTCCAAAGATTGGTGTTGGGCTATGCAAAAGGTAGGCTTTTACTTAGTTCTCCCATCATCAATGTTCCAACTAGTTTCTCGATTTAAACTTTGTGGTACTCCAAAGACAGGAAGTATGCTATGGGATATTTTTCAGGCAGCGATTATCTGGGAGTTGTGGAATGAACAAACTAGGCGTATGTTTGTTGAGGTGATCACATAACTGGAAGTGTTGAAAAATAGAATTCTTTTTTGTGTGTTGAGCTGGTTTGCTATTACAAAGAAAGGTTGGGGGGTCTCTAGAGAGGATATCAGCCATAACATGGCTCATTTGGTCTCTTTAAGTTTTGTTAAAGTTAGATGAAGATGTGTGTGGGTGCCACCTTTAGAAGGATGTTTGAAACTTAATTTTGATGGTTCATAGTTTGGAAATCCAGGCAGGGTTGGGATTGGGGTGTATGTCGCGATGATAGGAGTGATGTTATTTTATGTTTTGTGCTGCACTTCTTCGGGGTTGATCATTTAGAGGGATAGGACGTTGGGAAATTCTCTGATGGTTGACAGTGATTTTGCCAATGTTATCAGCTGGTGCCAATGACTCATCCAATGTTATCAACTGGTGTCAATGTTAGGTCTATGTGGTTGCACGTTTTAGAACTTTCACATTGTGAGTTTTCACCATGTTATCATGAGGCTAATGCTATTGCTGACTTAGCTAAGAAAGGAGGTGCTATCGGTTATTTAGTTCTTTCCCAATCTCTTATGTAATGTATATTTTGTGCATTGTATTAGTACAATTTATCTAATAAGATATCGTACTTTGGTCAAAAATAAATAAATCCCCATCTTATCAACTGCTATTTGTATTTTATTTTTATTATTAATATTTATTTGTATTTTGTTGTTATTATTAATATTATCTAGATCTATATCATATTATCATAAATCCAATGAACAGACACGGACCCATGGCTGGCCCCACCACGTGGGTTTTGAAACATTGGACGGGATTAACTTTAAGAAAAATTGTTTCATGCGGGTTGGACCGCGTGACTATACTATTCAAAAAGTGTAAAGCATCCATGTTAAAGATCAATCCAAGTAGGCGTTCCATCCAAAAACAATGGAAACTAGTGGTCCAAATGTTTTCTCAGTAGAATTATTAATTTTAATTTTTAAAATTTACTTATTTTTTTATATTCATGATATCCATGTTAGATATTACATGTCTTTAAAAATTAAGTCAAAAAATCCACCTCCCAAATAAATTTATTAATAGGTCCAAATTTCTATATATGAGGACTTGGCAGCATAGAAACCGGATCCTTAACTTAAGGCTCCAAGAAGTTGACTAGACATTAGTTTATCTAAAATAAGCCACGAGCCTCATCTCTATATCATTTGAATATAACGCTAGTACATGGGCTTGTCAGACTTCTATTGTTTCTTTTCCTTTAAAAACTATCCCATCACCTCTGATGAAATCAAGCTGTAAAGTAACTTTAAAGTTTGGACAAAATCGTCTGGAACTTCACTTATGACAACAATTGATTCTAGAGCATCAATCAGGCTAGAAGAAAATCCCGAATAATTGGACCATTAAAAAAAAAAAAAAATTTCCTCAAAAATGGGAAATAATTAAAGGGGTGCGATTTGTATACAGTCGAGGCTCTAAACAATATAAACAATCAAAGTAAAGCGCATCTTCAAATAGTATCGAGAAGTGTGGTTTCAATTATATAAATCTTTGTGATAGCATTAAAAAATATATATATTTTTAATTATAAAATTTAAAGCTTCAAAAATATTGTAGATTGACAGATCTATGAAAACTTATAGATCTTTAAAATTGACGGTTCAAAAATGTGTTACAAGATGCACTATTTCTAAAACTTAAAATCCATTTTTTCTCATATTCATGCATATGGATGTCGAGATGATCAATTTGAGCATCAAAACTTCTTCTAGTGGAATTTTTGAGGTGGACTCTAATTTGATTTTTTAAAGCCTCCGCTCTATATAAAATTTTTCTTAATTAAAACGGATTTCTCACCCTCATTGAATTGTCTCTAGTTCTTTTAAAGACGGCTCATAACAACAGGATCATAAAAAGGTCCAAACGAAAACAGCCCAACCACATTTAATATAAGGAATATTAAAAGGACCGGCCCACTATTGAAGTTGAAGAAACATATGAAAATGCAAAGTGGGTGGCGGATTTTCTCCATTTAATTTAGGGGAGGAGCTGGAATGATTTGAGAGGGTCGTTAGGGTCCATCTCACTGAGAAGGGGGAGATCAACGGTCCGCTTTTCTGGGCTCACTCCTTCCTTTTGAAGAGCCTCTACCACCTCTTCAAACACCACTCTGTTCCCCTCAGCCGTCAGATGCAAACCGTCGCTGCAATCTCAACCGTAAGAACTAGCATTCGGAAAACTGAACTGGCCTTAAAAACCCATTATTGGCCAGTTTCGAGGTTCAACCAGGTCCCGGCTGGTTTAAAAAGCGTTAAAAAATACAAAAAAAAATCTAAAAACATATGGAAAACATAGTTACAATATGATTAAACAAAGTACATCCATATGGAGCTAAAAAAGCCTGTGCCCGGTTCCGGTTTGATCGGCCCCGGTTTTGAGTTAGACTGGAAGAGTTTGCTAACACTAGTCAGAACCACCCATTTCCAGAAAGAAGAGAGGGAGAGATGATACCTTAAGTAAAGCTTCTCCCAACCAGGAGTGGATTGCATCTTGGAGCAGAGATCAATAACAGGGACGCAAGCCTCGCGGCCGACCTCCAAACAAGCAGTAGCGTAAGCTTTGGCACTCTCAAGTGTTCTTTCAGGCAAACCGGATGGATTCTCTCCATAAGGATATCTATTTCATTATCAACCATCAATCAATTCAATTTCAAAAACTTCCTTACTCTATTCTTCTACCAATCTCCATCATCAATTGTTCTGCTCGTCTTTATAAAGAAAAATCTGGTTTTGGTAATCTTTCTTTACCCTGATTCATGACGATTAAAAAATTGGAGAGAAGGGAAACAAAGAAGGGGTCTGATCGGTAGGTCAGAAAGTGATATGGCGCAATGTTGTCCGACTCTTTTGGGAGATTTTTTTGGATTGGTGAGAAAAATAAAGCAATTCCAATTAGGGGGAAGGGCTTCAAATTTTTAAAAATTTTTAGTATAAATAAATTAGATATTTATATATACAAATAATAAAAAAAATTAAAAATAATTTTTTTAAAAAAAACTACATTTATATAGCTATTTCTTTGTTGGCAAACGAAGACCGAGGAAGATGGAAGCAACATGAAAGGGTTCGCTTCTATTCGTTTATACCTAAAATCCGAAGTTTAGCCGAGTGTTTGATAACATTGATATGGGTTACGGTTGTGTAAGAAAAGATGGGGGCATTATTGTCCTTTTCAGAGTAGACAAAATCCAGGTACTTGCTGAAATGAATGGCAAGGATAAAAGATTCAGAGGTTCAGTCGATAAAAGCGAGCAGTGGAGTAACAGAACCTGAGACGGCCGTCCTCGTCGATGGGGGGCGGTGTAATTAACAGAATCACTGTGCAGGGCCATAATGCCTGTGCCAATGCACCCACAAAAAAAAAAAAAAAACTAGTTTTCATGCCTGTTTCAATGCACCCAAAAAAACGAAGAAATTTTCATGTGAAACAGAGAGAGAGGGAAGAGGGAGAGACCTTAAAGTGCGCGATGATGGCAAGGAGGTTTTGGTGGTATTCAGCGATGGGTACGTGCTGAAAGGCGCTGGACCGATCAGGAAGCGATGCATCGTTTGCCCCCAAAAACAGCGTTACCGCCACCACATTAGAAGGAGATGCGAGAGAAAGAGACTGAGTCTGTGACTTTAATGGAAATACTCGATCCAAAACCTTGAGAACCCATCTCGTATTATACCCACTGTACCCCCTCAGCACCACGTCCGCCTGTTATCAAGTTCATGATCATCACCACATGAAAACTAGAGAGAAAATTTACAAGGAGAAAGGCTCAAACGCAAAGAAAACTCTGTATTTTGTCTCTCAGAGGAAAGAAAAATATGAAATTACAGTGCGACAGAAGCAGTTGGCGAGAGCAGCACCCCATCCTCCAACATCGAAAGACGCCTCTGTGATCGAATCCCCGAATAACACAATCTTAGGACGCATTATGCAAGGTTTAGACAGAGAGAGCAAAATATGATGCGGTTTTGTAATCGCTCACTAACCACACAGAGTGAGTTATTAGAAGATATGGGATTGAAATATAATTGCAGGGGAAACAATGGGCGCAGAGGAAATCCACTGGCAAAGGGTTTCGACTTTGAAGACTCTTTCTCTCTCTACCTCTCCCATGGATCTGGACTCTCTCTCTCTCGCTGCTGCTTTTGATGACGTTTCATTGCTTTGTTTGGACTTTAGAACAAGGACTTGAAGCGTGGACATAATTAAATATGGACAACAAGGGAAAATTTTGTACAAAACTCTAATTTTCCGTCTTATTTCACGGTAAGCTCCCATTCCATTTTTTTTTTTTAACGGGTATAAAAAATTTATTAAACATTTCACTATACCTCTTATATCTAATTTTTTACTATAAAAATTAATCCAACAAATCTTTTTATACTATTTCAACTCAATTTTTTTTAAAATAATATAAAAAGATTTGTTGAAGCTAATTTTTATAGTATAAAATCAATAAGAGAAGAAGATAAGAGATGATGGGAATCTTTAAGGGTTTTGTTATACCGTTTTAAAGAAAAACGAAAAGAGGGTCTACCATGAAATATTATGAGAAACTGGGATTTTATACGAAATTTTCCATTGAAATAATCCATAATATAAAAAAAAAATATCTCTATACCCTCTATTTTTAAGTTTCATTTCACAATAGACTCAAGGTTTTAAAAGATATATTGGGACATAAAAATTGTAGATTGTATGTTTTCTAAGCGTGTGAGTTATTTTAAACCTGTTTTTTTAGGCGAAACAAAACTAAAAAGACACGCTTTTTTAAAAAGTTATCCTCCCAAACTTTTAGAGAGAAATAAGGGTTTCATGGAGGTGAGAGATTATCGGAAGGAGAGAGAGACGTGTTTTGAAAAACACGGGAGGAGAGAGAGTGTGAGAGATACAAGAAGAGAGAAATTTAAGGTATATAAGTGAAGAGAGAAAAGATTAAGTTTAGAAAAAGCATATATTTCTCACTTTTATTTAAGTTAAAAAATATGTTTAAATTGGTCAAGGGGTTAGAAGATATCAAGATATGAAACCGAAAAATAAAGGATACAAAGATATTTTCTATTTATATAAGGGTATAATTTTAAAATGTAGAGTTAAAGATGTACCTCAAAAATACATCGAAAAATGTTTTTTTAATGTTGAAAAACCCTCTAATTGATCATCTCGATATTGAGATTTATGAATATGCAAAAAAATTTAAGTATAAGAAATAGTGCATCTTGTGACTCGTTATTTAGACGGTCTATTTTCAAGATGTTCATATGTTTATAAATTTCCTTAATTTAATAATTTTTAGAGTTTAAAATTTTATAATTAGATATGAAAAATTAATTTTAAGATAATTTTAACAATTTTTTACATCACAATTATATATTATGGTAAAATTTGGAGGTACGCTTTAATTGGATTATTTGAAGTTGCAGGTTTATATGAATCACATGTGGTTATTATTCATGTTGGTTTTATAGGTCCGGTGGCCAAATGCCTTATAGTTCGTGTTTGAACCTTCAATCATTTATGATTAATTTTATATTTTATCCACTTATCCATGATTTTATTTGTACTTTAAAAGCTAAAAGGAAAACTAATATTTATAGATGATAAAAGTTTTGGTTGCTGTTGAAGAGGACACATATGCACGCTTTTTCATGCTCTATTTGAGGCTTGTAGCGCGAGATATCCGACTTTAAGCCCAATCATGAAATTCTTATTCCGATTCTACCAGAAATCCGAAAACATTGCGAGAGGACGCGTTGGGCTTTGGGGATCTTATTCTCGGCCACGCGAAATTAGGGGCAAGACGTTGAGAAACACGCGGCCTCGGCCTTCTTCCACACTCCCTCTTTCCCTCTCCGAGCCTTCATCTGTATCGACACGTGGCAAGAATTATTACTTCACATCTCTAATTCTCAATCAAGCGACACTTATTCTCTCTTATACTCCATGCCACATTCGTTTTTTTTTTTTGCCATGTGTCTTTGATTTTTTGGCTTAGACCGACACAAAGTGAAGTTCGGTGCTACCGCATCAATCAGCTTCGGGTCGATTCGGGCATCTTTAGCGGAGACAAATAAATATTTACATAAAAATACTTTTTTTTTGTTTTTTATTTTTTAAAATATTGATTTTTATATAGTTTTATATATCATCATTATTATAGTTTTTTATTAATTAAATGGGGTCGGCTATATGAATCCTAGTCCGTCATTCTATTTTATTTAAAATCGTACCATCAGTGAGGCTATAAGTCCTCATATCTTTTCGGACTACTTCCAATCACGTCCTTTTAAATCTGTTCTTTGCCCTTTTCAATCCTTCCATTTGAACTAATTCGCATCTCCTAATAGGTGTTATATTGGGGCGACGCCACACATGACCGGCCCAACTAAGTATATTATATCTCATGTTATCGCTTATTGGTGTCACACCTAAACTTTCCCGAATAAATTCGTTTCGGATTCATCCTTGCTTGTCAGTCACTCATCCATATCAACATCCTCATCTCTGTTACACTTAATTTATGGGCATATTGTTTTTTGTCCGTCAACATTATATCCCATAAAGCAAAGCTATTGTCTCACAACTATCCTATAGAAGTTACACTTCAGCTTCATTGGTATGCGACGATCACATAAAATTACAGTTGCACATCTCCCTTCACCCACCCAGCTCTAATTCTATAAGCGACATCTTCATTAATCTCTCTATTTTCCTAGATTATCGACCCAAGGTATAGAAAGTGTCCTTTTTTTTGTACTTCAATCTTAACTACTTTCTCGTCTCTACTCGTATTACTACTAAACTTACCTTCCATATACTCTCTTAGTACGGCTAATTTTAAAACTTTTGGATTTAGAGCATCCCTTCAAGGTTTTACCTTTGTGTTGACTTCGTTTCGGGTCTCATCGATCAAAACTATGCCATTTACAAACAACATGCAGCACGGGACCTCATCCTGCAGGTACCAAGTTACATCATCTGTAAGTAAGATAAATAGATACAGGCTCAATGCTGACCCTTGATGTAGACCTCTTGTCACTAAAAACTCACTCGTCTCTCCACTACTTGTTCGCACACCAGTTAATGCTCCATCATATATATCTCTCACTAAGTTGATGTAATGTCAGGAGACTCTTTTCTTTTCTAACACCCTCAAAATCAAATATCAAGGTATTCTATCATAAGCTTTCTCTAGGACAATAAAAACCATGTGTATGTCTTTTCCCTTCTCCCTAAACTTCTTAATCAATTTTCTAAGTAGGAAAATTGCCTCAGTTGTTAACCTTCATGGCATAAAACCAAATTGATTTTTAGATGCACTTGTTGCATGCCTTAGTTGTTGCTCAATCACTCTTTCCTAGAGCTTTATAGTATAACGTATAAGCTTGATTCCTCAATAGTTCGCACAATTTTGTATGTTTCCTTTGTTATTGTAATTAGGCATCACAACACTTTTTCTTCATTCGTCTGTCATTTTCTTTGTTCTCAACACCTTGTTAAATAGTTTCGTTAGTCAGTTAATGTCAATCTCCCTTATACACTTCCGTGCCTCTATCGAGATACCATCCGGTCCTAAAGCCTTTCCTATATCATCCTTTTTAGAGCTTCTTTCACATTTGATATCCTAATCCTATGAATGTATCTATGACCTCCACCGTCATTTATACCAATAGTTCCTTCTATCATTATATTTCCATTGTGTTCGTTATTTAATAATTTTTAAAGTAAACTCTCCATCTTTCATTGACCTTGTCATCTTTCACCGAGACCCTTTGATCTTCACTCCTAATGCAATTAATATGGTTGAGATCCCTATACTTTTCTTTTTATATTTTTACTAATTTGAAGACGTTTTTTTCACCTTATCTTGTTCTCAGCTTATTGTATAGATTATCATAGGCCTTAATTTCCCATTTACTTACTATTTATTTAGTTTCTTAGCATTTTTATATTTTTAGCAAAAAACAATCATATTATAAGTTTTGATCGTTTCTATTACACTGTCAAGTTTTATAATATGTTTTTTACTAATGGCTTTCTAGACCTCATCACTCTACTACCAAATTTCCTTATCGAAATTTCTTTTTCCTATTCCCCTCAAACTTCTTTTGCCACTTTCACTTTCTTAATACAGTCAGCCATCTCATTCCAAATTATGTTGACATCATATTCAGAGTTATATTTTTCTTATTCAACTAATTAATTGTTAAACAAGCCTACTTTTTCATTTTTTAAATTCCACCACCTAGTTCTTAGATCTATTGCTTTCAACCTTTCTCTTCCATGTCTTTAAGCAGATGTCCATAACCACAAGCCTATGTTGGGTAGTCAAATTCGCTATAGGGATAACCTTGCAGTCTTTATATGATGATCCATCTACCCTCTTAATTTGGAAGAAGTCTATTTGGCTTTTATGCGACCCACTTTTATAGGTTATTAAATGTTCAGCTCGCTTTTTAAAGTAAGTATTTGCTATTGCTAGGTTGTAGGCTATAACAAAATCTAGAATAGTCTCACCTATCTCATTCTTTTCCCAAACTCATATTCCCCATGAACCCCTTCATATCCTCTACTATCCTTCCCTACATGGCCATTTAAGTCCCATCCTAAAAAGGTCATCTCTCCATTTGGTACGTCTTAGACTATTTCATCTATGTCCTCGCAAAAGTGTCTCTTAATTCTATCATCTAACCCTAATTGTGGTGCATAAGTACTAATATGTTAATTATCTCTTGCTTTAATACACATTTAATTAATACAAGCCTATCACATCTTCTTTTAACATTAACTATTTTATCTTTTAAATCTTTGTCTACTATTACTCCTCCGTCATTTCCATTATTATCCTTTCATGTATATCAAAATTTATACCCCTCTATTTCTTTAGCTTTTTTTCATTTCCATTAAGTTTTCTGTAGACTATATTTACTCTCATTTGTCTCATTGTATCCATTAATTCTACACTCTTACCTGTAAGTGTTCCTACATTTATTTAAGTAACTTATATTAAATTAAAAAAGTTTGAAGTATTCTCTTGAATCGGTCGGTGATGTTCCTTCAAGAAGATTTTTGTTGCTCACCTCGAGAGCTCTTGGCACTAACAAAGCAAGTCACTCTTTACCAAAGGAAGATATTGCAATAGAAAGTTAACTGTAAAAGACTAAGAAACAACCAAAGAATCCAAAGATGCACTCCTCTTAG